GAGTGGATGGACTAATGGAAATGAGCATGAGCTCTGGTGCTGATTCCCAATCAGTAATGTATACATTTCATGTGGTTTGATCTGTTAAACTATTAAGCTTTGAGAGAGTTTCCAGTAACCAGTATGAGCTCTGATACGAATGGTAAACAGTGAATTAGTATATTTCTGGAGCACTCTTTGAAGAGAATAAAGGAATATATCCAAAGCCGATTTTGATTTACCTTTAATAAAGGAATGAGGAATCTGGGTATAAGATGGGTACAATAAACACTATCAGTAAAGATATTTTTAGCCTGTGAAGTTAGCTTTGATGGCCCATGAGATAACTCTAATAATTGAGGTGAGTTATTAGTTATTATAAGGTGGCTCCTTATAAGTGCAGGTTTTGTATTCATCCCTGGTAAGATTATAAATGAGGATTATTAGGCCACCAGAAGAACTGGCATCAGTAAAGATGAGTTCAGCTCCAGGGATTGGTTCATCACAAATTGTTTTTGAAAAGTGAACTGTTTTACCAATTAAAGCTTGGATAGGTTTCCAAAGAGGTAAATGATCATCCAATTTTCCTGGAAAAGCCATAATTGCACCCTGAAACAGGATATTATTTTTTAAAAGAAGGCTTATCTCCTGTTAATAACAAGGTAAGTTGATCAGGTACTAGCCAAAATAATTGAAAAGTCTTAGTGTGCAGATGTGATGTCAGACAAAAAAATTCAATTTTGTGGTAATTTTGGAAGAAACATTGGTAGAAAGAAGCACCCATTCTATAGGGTTACCTGGTTCCTTCAATAATGTCCTTGTCAGGATTTCATCAACTAAGATGCAAGTTAGCAAGTTGATTATTAACCTTCTGCAAGGTTAATAATTTTAGGAGTTAATTTTAGGAGTTAACCTTGTTAAAGACAAAGGGGATGCGTCACCCTCTAAACACTGGAACAGAGGAGGTACAGCCTATGAAGAAACCTGGAGAAATGACTTAAGCCAATTTATGTCTCCTAAAACCTTTTGTAACTCATTCAAAGTAATGGGAGATGTTATGTAAATGCTTGGAGCCTGTATTTTGCCCTCTGAAGGGGTTAATATGGTTCCCAGAAAGTGAAAAGGAACTAGTTTTTGAGCCTTTTCTGGAGCTGTATTTAAAACCAATTTCTTTAAGTGCTAGTTGGACTCATTGGAAGATAGATACTAGGTCTGGTGCAGAGCAATGGGGTTAAAGTCATCCATGTGATGAATAATCGTGAGGTCTGTACCTTTAAAAAAGGCTCCAAAGCCTCAAACATACAATACTGAGGAATGGTAGGCCTGGTTTTCATGCCTTGTGGTAAAACATCCCATTGCCCTCCTTGACAAGGGACAGCTTGATCCAACATATGCAGAAGGAATTGAGTCCTCTAGATGGCGATGTTGCAACATCCCTGACAAAGCAGGCTGTAAAGGCCTGTAGCCAGAAGAGGATGCTCCTTGCTCTGAGTTTTTATATTCTTGCTCCTGTTCTTGCTTCAGTCTCAAAATTTGCATTAGATCCCTGTTTTCTTCTACATCTGTGTTATCCTCCTCTTGTTTACCACCCCCATCCAAGTAATGCCCAGCACTTTCTTTCATTCTTGTTTGCTTTCTGGTTTCTTTTGATTTTCTTTCCTGGCAACTGCCTGTCCAAACAACAGTGAGTGGGTGCAGGGGAGTGCTAGGCATTGGGATTGGAATTTTCCTGGTCACTTGGAGTCACACTATTCTTCCAAGTCCACTTGCACCTTGAACATTAGAGAAGCTGGAGTACCCCCAAGCCTGGTCTCTGAGTGGTCCCCTGGGGAGTTTAGAAGGAACTGCTCCTATGGAGGCTTCCTTCAGGCATTCTGGTCAGTCTCTATGGGGTCCTGATGGTGAGTTTGGAGTTTGGGGTCTCTCTTTGTGCTGCAGGTTGCAGGCAGGGCTGTTTGGTCACATCAGGACACCTGGCCAGAGCCCGAGAGTTGATCCTTTGGCCCATGCCTTGCATTTTGGAGACTGCCTTGGCAACTTTAAAGGAGACAGCCTCTGGCCTTTGGACTGCTGTCTTCACACATAGGAGAGGGTTCTGCCCAGAGTGACTTAAATTTTCCTGGCAGGTGCCAGTGCCTGTCACTCCCTCTACTTTTTTTGGCCCAGGAGGTGAGTAGAAAGCAATTTCAGGGTTTGGGTGGAAGACAGCAGGGCAGAGTGTTCTCATGTTGGTGTTATTGACAGATGGCTGCCTTGAAAACACATGGTCCAGGACAGATGTCTTCCTGATTACTCAAAGGCACATTGCCCTGCTTGGGGCAGAGTCCAGCACAAAGTTCTCACTAATAATACATCAAGTACAAGTTAAATTAGGCAATTAACTCATGGAGCAAAGAAAAGAAGCATAAATATAAAACAAATACAATGAGTTTAAATATGAAGAAGTGTTCAACCTCGGTGGTGATTAGAAAAAAAAAAGATTTACAGTAATGCAATTCATGCCATATTAGCAAAAGCACTGTATATGCTGTCAATTAATTTGTATAGACTCTGTCCTATATTTTATGGAGTGTCTCTGGCTAAACCAATTCAGAGGGTCCTCTTACTGTGGTTGTAACCTATGGAGGCCTCCTGTTGGCTTGTCTCTTCAGGTTTTCACATGCTCTAAGTTGTTGGAGCACATGCTGCTAGGGACTCTGTTGCTTCTGTTGTGTGAGGGTCCTCTAATGTAATCAGAAAGGGAAGTTCAATCTCCAGTCCCAATTAGAGAGGAGAATACTTGTCATTTAATAATCACCCATATAGTAACATATATTGAAAATTCACTATGGTTCTCTATATCTCCTGGGAAAGGATGATCTGTCTCCAATACTGATTCCTTCTCAGTACCTAATTATCTTTCTAGCTCATGCTGGGAAATTGCTGAACACAGCCTGCTTCGTCTTCCCCTTCCACAAGGGGCCACCACACATCTCCAGTGGAGCCAGAATCTATCCCTCCCATTAATTCTTTTTGTGTTCTCAAAATGACTTTGCTGCTCCTCCCTTTTCTGCTGATCCTTGAAGATGCCCTCGAGCTCTTCCCCTGGTCTTCATACCTCATCTCATCCCTGAAGAACTGTGCTTTCCATCTAGCCTTGGATAGTAGGGGCTGTGCACTGGGTACATCTAGTTGGCCACTTTCAGCACACCCTATCAATAAATTTTGATATTGTCTTGAAAATACAACTTAGCCCATGTCATACAATTGCCCTCTCCATCATAGTAATGATTTTTTTGTTACACCATTTTCTTCTTCAAAACTTTCCTGTATATTCATTTTTCATTGCATTTTCAAGTCTACTATTCTGCCAGGCAGTTGTTCCTTTTGCCCATGTGACCTCTGTCTGCCAAATTCCTGGCCAAATTCCTATCATTAGAATGCCTCCCATCCACAGGACACACACTGGGCTATTTATAAGTGAATACCTCCCATTTTGAGAGTAACCATCCCTTATTAATCTCCAATTGTGTGTGGAAAACCACTTTAGAGTGGTCTGGAAAATACAATCAACCTGAGAGGGTGTATTCCAAGTTGAAGCCCTGGTTAGTGTCAGTGTCTGTGAAGTTAGATTGTGTCCCTAGAATGTGGTCCTGATGAGATTTTCAAACTGATTGACCCTAAATAAAAGGAAGTTAAGCAGAGGTCCCATGTTCCCAGAGAAGGGGCACTGAAGAGTCCAGAGCCTGGGAGAAGAGCAAGTCCTTACTCACCTGAGGAAACCTGCTGGCTGTCTTCTCCATCTCCTCCAACTCTTCTTTCCTAGGGAGTTCTCCAGGCAATGGGATGGGAGGCTCCTTGCTTCACAGTGAGAGAAACCCTCTCTGGGCATTTGGGCCATCAGAGCAGCATTTTATGATCTCTAAATTTTATTGTTTCTGCAGGGACTTCTTCACTCTTTCTGACTTGACTCTTAGTGAACCATTTTCCTTTTACTTGAATCTATTTGTGACTTTAGTTTCTTCTTTCATGATTTTACATCTGATACTACCAACAGCCAGTAACCAGTGGTATAAATCTAAATGATTCATAATTGAAATGGAAATAAATATGGACTATGAAATATGAGTGAGAAGCTGCAATGTATCTGAAAATTAATGAGTTGATCAAACTATGGAATAACACCCACACTTGTGTCAAAGGGAATTGAATTTATAAAATCAACTTAAGTGTGAAATAAAGTAAATTGAAAGTAAATAAATGGAAGGGAACTTGCATACCACCTTTATCTTTGTTTCTTTTACCTATTGATTGACAGAATAATTGTGCCTATCTGCAGAGTACCAACTGATATTTCCACACCTCTATTCACTGAGTGAATCTACTTCCTCAGTGATACCATGTAATTGTGTGAGAACATCCAAAGCCCCTATTCTACCTATTTTGAAATGTACAAATCCTTACTGGTATAGACATGTGGGTGGAACCAGAGGGCATCTGTTTAGGTGAAATAATCTGTGCAAAAATGACAAGAAACTGTTGTATTAAAGCAAAGACTCAGCCCTCTAGCAGGTAGTAGAAAAAATATGAGTAGGAGCAAAAATATGTGAATTATAGAGAAAAAATTTTAGTTATTATATCTTGTAATACCAGGTTATAATATATGCTACAAGAATTCAACTTTGTCTCCATCATAGGTTCCTACATGCAGAACATTGGCAAGACATCTCAAACAGCTGACATTCCCACAATTGATTTCATGTGCATTTTCTCATGCAATAAGATTGACTGAAGCCTTTCCCACATAGATGCCACTCATGAGGTTTCTCTTCATTGAGCTGGCTCGTGTTTTCTAAGGTTGGGGTCTTAAAGAGAAGCCTTTCCACACAAACTACATTCCAATGGCCACTCTAAGGTGATTCATGTTCCATTTTTCCAAACACAAACACACCCAAATCTGCAAACTCCTACAGAATATAAAGAGGCATATGACAGGATGATGGGTGATGGCCAAGGAGTATGCCACACAGGTGGCATTCATGTTATTTTGCTCCAGTGTGTGTTCTCTCATGAACTCTGAGGCCAGATGATCGACTGAAGGCTTTCCCACACACAGGGCATTTGTATGGTTTCTCTCCAGTATGTGTTTTCTCATGGTGTCTCAGGCCAGAACATGTACTGAAAGCTTTTCCACATAGGTGACATTTGTATTGTTTGTCTCCAATATGTGTTTTCTCATGGTGTCTAAGGCCAGATGATAGACTGAAGGCTTTCCCACATACATGGCATTCATATGGTTTCTCACCAGTGTGGATTCTCTGATGTGGTTTAAGGTAACACGATTGACTGAAGGATTTCCCACACATGTGGCATTGATAGGGTTTCTCTCCAGTGTGTGTCCTCTGATGAAGTTTAAGGTAGCATGTTTGACCAAAGGATTTCCCACATAATTGGCATTGATATGGTTTCTCTCCAGTGTGGATTCTTTCATGTATTTTAAGGTGGCATGATTGGCCAAAGGATTTCCCACAACATTGGCATTGATATGGTTTCTCTCCAGTGTGGATTCTTGCATGTATTCTAAGGTAGCATGATTGCCCAAAGGATTTCCCACACAGTTGACATTGGTATGGTTTCTCCCCTGTGTGGGTTATCTGATGACGTCTAACATGAACTGATTTGCTGAAAGCTTTCCCACACACATGGCATTTGTATGGTTTCTCTCCTTTGTGAATTTTCTCATGCATTTGAAGGCTGTATGATTTACAAAAGGCTTTCTCACACCAGTGGCATCTGTATGGTTTCTCTCCAGTATGGACTTTCTCATGCATTTTAAGGTTGTAAGAATTCCTAAAGCCTTTCCCACACACATGGCATTTATTTTGTTTCTCACCTGTTTGGGTTCTCTCATGATGTCTAAGCTCAGAGCAGTAACTGAAGACTTTCTCAGAAAAATTACATTCATGCTTCTTTTCCCCTGTTCTAGTTTCAGTGAGTCTGCTTAGATCAGAGGATTGATTAAAGGATTTGCTGCATAGACGACGTTCAAATTGCATCTTTCCAGGATCATTCTTGTTGCATTTTCTAGGTCGTAAACAATTCCTATGTCCTTTCAAACATTCTTGCCCTTCACATGAGACACAATCATTTTTCTTGTTTTCACCAAGATTCACATTATCAGCAAGGGATCGTCCACAGTGTTTGTTGTCCCAGTGGTTCCTTGCTGGGTGTGTAAACCAAGATTGAATACATGCAGGGCTGTGACATAGATCTTCCTCCAAGACTTTCCATTCCAAGGAATTCTCTTTAACATGAGATTTCTGCTTCATAAAGAAGATGAATATTTCTTAATGATGTCTCCATATAAACTTACAATATTAATTTTTCTACATAAGAATCCATTATAACATGAATATGTAAATCTTTTTACTTTTAATTCCATGAACATTGTAGATAATTCACAGGTGAGCCAAGTATTTTCCATTTGCTAGTATTTAATTTAAAGGGGCTCAGATTAACTTTATGGTCTTCAATATTTCAAAGAATAGCTACATGAGAAATTCTTGTGCATTTGGAGTCTTTTTAATTTCTCCCAGAATGCAAGCTATACAGATGTTTTGACACAGAAATTTTGTATTTTCAACATAATCACAGCCATGAAATTGTACTCAGTTACTAATTTATTCCACAGACAGTTCTTTAACTTACATAATCAGTGTTCCCATCCTTGAAACTTACCGTTGACATGTTGATGGGTGTGTCCTTTCTTTTCAAAACTTCTCTGCATATCATTTCATGTTTTGGATGTGCACTTTCCATTCCTATAAGAGTTTGAAATACAAATTGTTAGCATGAAATTCAGAGAGACAAAGTTAAAAATCAACAACCTCACGAGAATGTCTTTTTCATCATTGACACTTTCATGGAGGTTATGGCTTAAATCAAGAAAAATTATATTGTTGCAGTAAATTCACTTGCAGGTCAGCATGAGAAAGAAAGAAGAAGCAGAGCAAGCAAAGCAGCAGCAGAAAAAAAGTCCTTTATTGTATACAAGCAATCTTTTTAAAGTATTGTGAACAAAGAAGGCAGCCTTCCAACAGCAATAAATCAGGTCTTTCAGCTAATTAAACATAGAATACAGAAGTTTTACTTTATAATCAGAAGTGACCCACTTCTCATGGCTAATCTACTCTCAGCCTGGAGCATGCCAAGCTCTGCTCTTGTTAAGAACAGATAATAAAATTTTTCTCAGCACCCTCTTAGCCCACTTGGCAGAACATCCCGTTTTCAGGCAAGTCCTCCCAAGGACAGCAGACACCTCGTTTTCAAGCATGTCCACTGTTACCTTATCTAAACCTTGAAGGAGCCTCTAGTTTGCGAGTAGGCCCTCCCAAGTACAGCAGATACCTCATTTTCAAGCATGTCCACTGTTACCTATCTATACATTGACAGAATATCCTGTTTGCAGGCAGACTCCATCAAGGACAGTAAGAGTAACGCAGTCACATCTGATTCTCTACATTATATATCTTAGAAAAAAGGAACACTGGTAATTATAAAAAATTTCAAGATAGAATTGTTTTTTAAAAATGTAATTTAAAGGAGAAAATCTGGAAAAGACACATGGAAATTGACCTAAAAAATACACTAACAGGTTTTTCCCCTCAATGAAAATATAAATAAAGAGGAAACATTTTGAATTTAAAATAAAATGAGCTATCTCAATACATGAGAAATTTTGTTCCACGATCCCCTACTATATTTTAGACAACCACATTCATTTCACAGCTATGTCAGTTAATATTTCCAAGCTCAATCACTGGCTGTGCACCCATCTCTGTAGAATCACAAAAGTCTCTGTTTCTTAAGCACTCTGGCTTGGGAACAACCCTGTCCCTTCTCCCATCCACAGATTTTTCCTTCCTCCAGATACAAAGTCCAATCTGATTTGCAGAACAGATACCCTATGCATGGTGAAAGAAAGCCAATGGATTTTAGGGTTTCTGTTAAGAAATGTGCATTAGTTTCAAGGCCATGAAGATGACTTAACAATAATAAAGCGAACCAAGGCACTGGGAGAAACTATTTAGCAGAGAAAAGATAGAAAGCTCCCATACTATGGAGGATTGAAGGACACCCATGCTCACGATGACATTCAAAGAATGCTGAACCAGGTACTTCACCTCTCCACTAGATATTACTTTCAAATGGAATAAAAATAATCACAAAAAGTGTGCAGAATTCTCTTGTTTTGGTATTCAATACTCCAGCACACTGACCATATAAGGATAATTATTTATAAATATTAGGTCTATGTATAATTTAATTTTACTGAATACATAACATTATGGTGTGGACCATATTGTAGTGTGGTATAAAATAAGTTGTAATTAAAGTAGAAAATAAGAGCAGCTTTCTTACATGTAATTATAAGTTCTATGATAAAAATCAGGATAGAGATTGGAATTGAATAGAGAAAGGCTATCACAGATACTGTTATTGAAGAAATATGTATACCCTCACATCTTTCTTATATATCATTGATGGACTCACCAACTGATACTAGATGATTAATGATTTCCAGCATCACTGACTGGTATAGCATTTTCTGAGATGGGTCCAGCATGGCCCACTCTTCTTGGGTGAAACTTATGCTTACATCTTCAATGGTCATCAATTCCTAGAACGGTATTGACAAGCTAGATTAGAAAGAGCAAGGAGATCAATTTCACAAAAGAAGGGTTGAGAGGACAGCATGAGGCAGAGAGGAAACTAGGTGTGAAGGAGATCAAACTGTTAAAGCACCAGCCTGTTCATTTTCAGCTCCCAACATTCTTACTTTCAGAAACCCAGAATATACATACATTGAATTCATAGAATTTATAGTAAAGGAATATGGAATGATAGAGAGTCATGCAACATGAAAAACATTTTAGGGCTGGTAAGAATAACTTTCAATCAGGCTATTATAAAATTTTCACTTGAACCTTTTTAACTAAAATGTAATCCCCATTTATTTAAATAACTTTCCAGAATTACCACCAGGCCAACCTTAACATTAATTTGTCATCTTGGAAATTGATCACATATAAAATAGTCATTTTCACAAGAGGTATCTTAGATCCCTCATCAGTAAAATATTTAGTACTGTGTTTAAAATGCCAATGAATTTCTTTATATCTTCAAAACATGTTTAAACTATAACCCTATAACCAGACAATGCAGACATTCATGAACCAATCTCCAGAATTTTTGAGAACTGAACAAACTACATGTAACTTGCTGTCAGTAGGAAGAGTCACTCTTCTCACAATGTGACCAAGGAGGTCAGAATAAGGTTAAGGACAGACATTTGAGCAGCACAAAACAAAGTCTCTGAGACTTGTACTCTGAGGCAGAGTCCCAGCAACCATCCCTATGCTACAACTCTCATCCTCAATTCTCTCTTGAGCTCCAAAGACTACTTTCAATCTCTCTGATATCTTGATCTCATTTCTCTGTTTCTTTATTGTTTTCATGTATCCAGTTCTTCAAAAAATTTGCTCCATCTGCTATGTGATTTACTAGTATATTTTAATGATAAACATCAATTAAGGTAATATAAGTTGGTGTAAACAACTTCCAGTACAAAATATGAAGGAATATTTTATTACTAAGTTATAACAACATTGGGAATAAAAATGATCATGATTAATTTAGGGGTTTTTGGGGGGATTATCAAGAGTTGAAATTTATTCCATAAAACTCTAAGTTTAAAATTGCAAAAAAAAATTATTTCTCATGCCTTCTCTAGCCTAGGCCTTTTATTTTTTCTTAGTATGACTTTAATGACTGTGGCACTGGGTCAACAGAATTCATGTGCTAGAATATCTGCCTCCATGTTGGGCTGTGAGGTTCTACTCCTCACTCATTTCCCTCACCTGAATTCACTACAATCCAAACATCATTGCAATAGGTAGCATCATTAATCAGCAATTATTTCAAATGGAGTCATAGGCAAAATGTGAGATTCAATATGACCCATTCCTTCTGGAAGTACACAGCCAGGAATGGTACCATGGTATAGTGGTGTCCTAACAGGAAGGACATCAGCTGCCTGCTGATGAGTTCCTGACCAATGGTGACAGCTGCAGAGTTGTGGGGTACAGGACTAACTCCTGCTTGCACTGAAGACTTGGCATCTCTGTCAATAGGGGGAAAATTTCAATAGAAAAGCCATTCACTGCTCACCCACCAATGGATTCTTAGCCATGGTTTTGCTTTCTGCAATCTTCCTCTTTGCTCACACACAGTCCAAACAGTTTTCAGAAAATACTGTGGATGAAGAAGAAAAAGCATGATATTCAACACATTTAGAAGACATCCTGACTCCTCTCTTATGAAATCCTAGACATTCTTTTGTCTAAAATGCAGTGCTAACACTAGGAAAATTCAGATTGCCCAAGAGTTATAGGTGTAGTACTCTGTTCATATTCCAAGATCAAAATTCAAAAGAATGGGAACATGATTGCTAACAAAAATGAAGGAATTAAACCTCCATATATGCATTTACATATATATGGAATACCTTGATTTTCACATGTGAATTGCCCGATAAATGGTCCAGAGTTTTAAAATGCTCTTAGATTTTGAAGAAGTATCACTTTTTTAACCAACATGCAGACTTTGGTTTCCACCTCTAGGGAAACATTGTGGAATTTCTCAGATTTCACTGATTTTGCTCTATTTGTTAGCAGTGGTTCTCTAAGTTAACTTGTGTCCCCTTGGAGTCTCACTCCCTGCCAACCCTCCCTCACCCATGAGGTAGATCTATTGTTCCTGGATTTAGGAGCAGTCAAGTCAGGATCTCTATTATGAAAGCATGAATCAACTCAAGTGGATTTCCATTTTGAGGAATCAATGGCACCATCCTGCCAATCCAGCCCTTATAGTTGCATTTATCCAAATCAGCTTAAATACTGGGGTCCTAGTGGGAGTGTCAGGGATGGTCACATTAATTTATATTAAGGTTGTTCAGAAATGATGCTCATAGATGATGACTGGGATCAGGATGAAA